CCCCAAAACCCCAAAACCCCAAAACCCCATCAGAATTAAATGAGAATAATGTGAGAGTTATTAAATCAAGATTAATTAAATAGTCATTATTAACTTTGGCTTTTCACCTCAGTTGCGTCTCTTCTTTTTGCTTTTCTTGGATAATGCATCTTTTAGATCCACCTCATCTTCAGCATCAAACTTCGATTCTTCCATATTCTTTCTTTTTTGGCCTGGCTTATCTGGGTCTCCTGATACCTTTTCTTTAAAGAACAGCTTTATCTATCTTCTGAATTCAATACTCTAGGCAACAATTCTAACTTTGATGTTGCTGAATGCTTGTATAGAAACTTGACCATTTATGATTGCCTCTTCTTTTTCACTATCAATAACAAACTTACTCTCTTCCTCTTCAGCCAGCAAACCTTCGATACCGTATTTCTTAATCATTACGTATATACCTGCTCTGGTTATCTTCATTACAATAGCATCTTCAATGACATCCTCATTGGATTTTTCTCTTAGATTTTTAAAGTAGAGATAGGTGTTGAACTAGACACTGGCCCCACTAGCAAGGGCTGCCATTCTGTTTTTACGGTTCATTTAGTCACACTATCTGGCCATCTTGAATTTATCAGTCATATCATTAGTCAAGGACTGTATATCTATAGCTGCAGCGAGCAATCTATGAACTAAAACATCTGCATATCTTCTAATTGGTGAAGTGAAATGTGTGTATACTGGGACTGCGAGACCATAATGGAATACCTCTTGAATATCGAAGTCAGCTAAGCAGAAATAAACAGCTTAATGCATGCACCTAGTTGCCATGATCCTAACTATTTTATTAAAAAACTGATCATTCTATCTAATAGCTCTGTCTAAACTTTCAGCAAAACTTTTTGAACTATCAATAGTCATTTCAAATCCTTGTTTAGCCATTTGCTCTATAAACTCTTACACCTCCTTTTACTTAGGCTAAGGATGTCTTCTCAGAATAGCAAATGATGGATAATGCCAAACTATCTTTTCAGCTACGGCAATATTGGCTAAAAGCATGAACTCTTCAATCATGTAATGAGTGCTCACATGCTAATACTCAGATACATCTGTTGGGTTCTCTCTATCAACATCCATCTTAAATTTAATTTCTGGAGATGCTAAAGTCAGAGCTCCTTTTTCAGTTCTTCTATCTCTTAAAATAGTAGCAATTTTCAGCAATCTCCTCAGGCCCTCAGTAAGCTCACTCTTATCACTGGGATTGTCAATCATATCTTAAGCTGTGTAATAGTCAAGAGCTGCTGCTGATTTAATAACTGACTTAGTGAAGGAAGTTTTTACTGGAAGAATAGTTTTACTATCAATCTCCCAAATTACAGAGAATACGAGTCTTTCAACACCTCCTCTGATTGAACATAGATTTTCAGTTAAGAGTCCTGGCAACATATCTGTCCTTCTCTCTACCATGTAAACTGTAGTACATCTTCTAGCAGCCTCCTTATCTATCTCTGAACCAGGCCTGACAAAATGAGTCACATCAGCTATATGAACACCTACTTCATAGTTACCATTTGGAAGTACTCTGCAATGAAGAGCATCATCGATATCCTTGCAACCTATTGGGTCAACACTGCAAACAACTAAATGTCTGATGTCAAGACGCTTGTTAATTTCTTCCTGGGGTATTTTCCAATTAGCTCCGTCCTTTGGCAGGCATTACAGCACCTTGTTAGAAAATGGACGAGTATCTACATTGAATTCGTGCAAGATCATAGCACTCTCAGTTGCTATTTTGCCCTCTTCACCTATCAATTTGACAAACTAACCCTGTGGGAAAGGTGCATACATTGACCATTTGTTGTATCTAACAATAAGTCTTTTGTTCTCAAGTGCTTCTGGCTTTACTGACTTTATAAGTGCTTATGGAAGTTAATTATTGTAAGGCACAAAAACTCTATACTTTTCAATGTCCTTTCTGTCAATTCTATTGTTCTTTATGAATTGCTCAAACTTCTTTCTAGTCTAAGGAGCTTAGTCCTAAGGCTTGATGATTGAACCTCCGTAGGTCTTATTCATTTTCTTGAGTACGCCCATAACCTTAGCTGTGACTCTCTTGACCTTCTCATTGTTAATCTTGTCTATAATGTTTTATCTAGCTTTAGTTTCCTCTTCTGCCCTTCTTAGATCCTCATCATTATCATTTGCAAGATCAGCATTCTTATTCTCCATGTAATTGACTGCTTCTTGTTCCAGAATGTTCATTGGCTATCCTGACTTATAATCCTTGAGCCATAATGATTCTGGAAGGATTTCTAGACACACGATGTCGCCATTAAGTGCTCTGTTTTAATTTTAGAGGCCTACTATCAATAAATCCTAGTTCAGATAGTCTATGGAAACTGTAGCATCATCAAGAGTAACTCTAGATACATTCAACCTTCCTTGGAAATACTTTCCTTCCTTAATTCCCTAAATCATGTCCTCAAATGATAGATGATCCTCATAAAGAGCTTCGACTCCATCAATATCTTCCATCTCCAAGTCCTCAAGCTACTGATGCTCGTCTGCAAACCCCATAAAGTTCAATAGTTCAGGGTTTTCTTCTTGATTCATGAGGATAAAATCCTCCATTGAAATCACACCCTCCTAGTTCTGTCCTTTCATCATTTTAATGTACTCCTGTTTTGACTTGAAGTTTTCTGTCAGAAGGAAGATTTAATGGCCCTCAGTAATGCCAGATAAGTGGTCACAGTACCATTAGTATACCTAGGAGACTTTAGTTTTTATTTTCTAGTCAAGTCCTTTTCCCTAAATAAGGCTCTCCTACACAAATGTTTCAGCAAAATTCTCATTGTAGAAGTAGTAGATTTATCTGGATTCCTACTCAGTCAAATTCTTCAGACCATGAAATGCTTATATGTTTCTAATATAAAAATTATCTTGATTAAGTTTACTTTCTATTAACATATTTTAGAATAGAGTCTGGGAGGACTACATTTGACAGTGCTTGGCAGTTCTCAATGAAATCAAACTAATTCAAAGCAAACAAATGATCTATTATGTAAACCCTTTTGGTTTTTCCCTGGTCTTCAGGCTCAATTACCATCTTAGAACTAACTCCTTGAACCTATTTCAGCTATAGTACCAGATTGCAATCTAGAAATTCTCAATAAAATTCTATTTATTTTACTATCATTGATATCGCAGAAAGGACAGTTCTTGATTCCACAGGGTATATCTGAACGAATATACTATTCCTCGACTTGCTTGACAATCTTGCCATTTTGAAGCTTTCTAAACTTCACAGTATTCACTCTTTTACTTGTAAGTAGCATATTTATTACTTAATTATAATTTATATCTTACTCCTAAGTATTAAATATTCTCTCCTTATGGGGTTTTGGGGTTTTGGGGTTTTGGGG